AGCTTCTCATTCACCACCACTCTCAAGTCCTTCTCTTCAGAGCTGGTCTCAAGCCATTCATCACCCAGCCTGTATTTGTGCCTGGGGTTGCCCCGACCCAGGTGCAGGCCCTTGCATTTGGCCTTGTTGAACTTCATGAGGTTAGCACTGGCCCCACCTCTCAAGTCTGTCAAGGTTCTTCTGGATGGCAGGAAGATAAGCGGGAATCTTCCCACAGGAGCCTTCCAAGCAGATCCACAAATTGGTCAGTGTCTGCTCTTCTGAAGTCTCTTGTTGTGATCCCGGGTTTTGCCCTGCTCCCTCCTCACAAGGTCCTGGACTCCAATATCTTGTAGTCACTGCAGCCAAGCCTGCCCCCAGCCTTTACATTCCAAACCAGTCCTTCCTCAGTTGTCATTGTGAGATCCAGCAGAGCACATATCCTCTTCAGGTCCTCTGTAACCTGTGTCAGGAAGTTCTCACCAAGGCAGTCCAGGAACCTCCTGGATTGCTTGAACTTTGCTGCTCAAAACAAAGCTCAGAAGCTGCTGCACAAACTGCTAAGCCTGCCGGCTGCCTCTGTTAGCTGCACTGCTGGGGCTGAGGACTGTTGGGGCTGGTCTTCAGTCCTTGAAAGTGCAAACAGGCACATTGGGAAGAACTTCCTGTGGGATTAATTCTCTCTTACTCTATTGTAACAGCTGGTAGCACTTCCTCTATGTTTTTTCCTTTCACTTTGTCAGTATTCCCTTCCAGACTACTTGCTTTATTTGACTGTTGCTGTTGAGTTTTTCCCTTCAGATTATTCTGAATTCAAGAAAGCTGGAAAGCAGGACCCCGGCAAGGGATTCAAGTTGAGGGAGAAACTGCCATCCACCCCTGAGAATGAGTTAACCAGTTCCAACAAGTTAATTTCTGAACACGAGCACACTTCCTGTTCCTTGTTGGTGCTTGGAACCCTCTCATGCATTCTCCATCCTGCTTCATGTGGCTGGTTGCTCCTAAAACCAGACACCTTCAATGCTCCTAACATGGGGTTCACTGTGTTTCCACCTCTTCTATAAGAGCTGAAATTTATTTCTTATATGGTGTAATTTTGCAGAAAAGCTGATGAAGTTTTATCTTCCAGCTTCTCTCTCTCTTTCAGCTTCTTAGACCTTGAGTACCTCTGAGGGAAGTTGCATTCCGTGTCTTCTCTTGCAACCTTCAGTCCTCAAGGCACCCTTTAACTGCAGTATTTTCCTTAGTTCATGTCCCATTGACCTTGTTTGTATCCATGCCTTGCTTGTTGACTCTTGTCTATACTGCAAGGGTCTGTGAAAGCAGACTCAAGGTTCTACAGTGCCTCTTCTAGGAGAGCACCCGTTAGAACCAAGTACCACTGTCTTCAGTGGTTCAGGGGCAGGAATCCCTGGCAATTCTGCACTGCCAGGTGCCACCCTGTTGTTTTAACACACTGATCTGACACATACATTTGTGAAATGAAATAACCTAGGGTCGCTCATGAAGCTCTTCATGACTGGAGCAGATAGAAAACAGCCGAGAATCTTTACTTACAGAATGGTAAAGACACACAGGAAGAGTGAGGTCATTGATACATGCCCTTCTCAAACATGCTGCTGGTGTTTACGGAGCAGGAAAGAGAAATAAGTTCCTGCTGTTTTGGAAATATAAGATATTTACAATGGTTCCAGAGCCTTCTGCTGAAGGTAACCTCTCCCATCATTGGTCCCAGCATTTGGCTACCGTCACTGCTTTGAGACTCTTTATCCCAGGGTGGGACAGAGCTTTTAGTCACCTGAATGTTGTGAGGTCAGCTGTTGATTTGCTGGGAAGAGTAGCTTGGCTTGCAATGCTGAAAAGAAAGTCGTTTGCTGTTTCTCTGCTTTAGACTCTGTGCACGCACCAAAGTGAATTCACGTGAGGGTGCTTGCATAGACCTTCATCTTGGTCAAATGGTCTGGACAGCAACAACTGATAAAACAGGAATGTGAATGTAAATAGTTGTGTGAATGTAATACCTGAAACTATCTGAGAGGGCATTTGCCTCAGACCTGCTATTGTTACAGAAGAACATGTCCCCCAGCTTAACAGTAACCAGGGAATTAGCGAAAGGCTTTTGAGACAGAGTCAGTCTGAAAAGAAAGTTTAGAAGAAGCAAGAACATTTTTAACAGAGAGAAGAGAGAGAAGTGGGAAGGAAGTGGCAGCTGAAACTCGGTTGCCCTGCTACTTTGCAACCTCTGTCTGTAACAGAGCATCCACCCCATTGCATGATGTGGGTAACCTGCATTCCTGGCAGTAAGGGTACAGACCCACAACTTCAGTGTGCATATGTGACCTTGTGCTTTCTCAGCAGCCTGTGGGTGAGCAGACTGTAGGAATGGAGACACATGAACCTACATCTCAGGAGGAATTAGGTGAGACTAGGGGAACCCCTGGTCCCAGCAAAGGGGATATGTTCTTGTAGCCTGCACTTCCTGTGGCAGGGGTGGGAAAGGGGAGGTTGCACAAGTGACCAACCACGTGAATGCATGTGTGTGTGGCAGAGGGGAGATTAGACCTTTTGGAGATCAGTTACATAAAGACATTTAGAAATTTGTAGGTGTTTATTAATATTTTGTGTCTGGTATTGTGCTTTACCTGTTAGATTGCTGATACTGATCCTGAATATACAGGTCATGGTGAATCCAGTAGGTAGGACCTTCTAGTAGGTCATACCTTCTACGACAATACCAGCAAGCACATGTATGGATCATCTTTCCAATGCAACAGAGCTGTTGGGTGGTTTGACCCTGCCCACAGCCTGTTGTGCATGAAGAAACATACTCAGAGGATATTTTCTACACACAATTTAGGCTTGTCCTCATTTGCAACCAGCTTTGTGCCCTGCTCATTTGTCTTCAACTGATGTGCTTCTGATATTGTGTTAGCTATCCCATTAGGCCCCTGACTCCAAGAAGGACACGGAGGTGCTGGAGCGTGTCCAGAGAAGGGCAACGGAGCTGGGGAAGGGTCTGGAGCACAAGTGTGCTGAGTTCCCGGCTGAGGGAAGTGTGGTTGTTGATCCTGGAGAAAAGGAGGCTGAGGGGAGACCTTGTGGCTCTGTCCAAGTCCCTGCAAGGAGGGTGTAGAGAGGTGAGGGTGGGTCTCTCCTCCCAAGTAACAAGCAACAGGGCAAGAAGAAACAACCTCAAGTTGTGCCAGGGGAGGTTAGATTGGATATTAGGAAAAAATTCTTCATCTACAGGGTCGTCAATCATTGGAACAGGCTGCCCATGGAAGTGGTGGAGTCACCATCCCTGGAGGGATTTAAGGGATGTGTAGGTGTGGCACTTCAGGACATGGTTTAGTGGTGGACTTGGTAGCGTTACATTAATGGTTGGATATGATGATCTTATAGATCTTTTCCAACCAAAATGATTCAATGATTGCAATATTCCTTCCTCAGTGCATCTGTGCATGTCTCTTCACAGGGAGAAACTAGCTGATACAACATGAAAGGGGAAAGGCTGCATACCCAGTCCATTCAGAGTGCAGTGGGATCCACTAGAGATTATTTATCCTTAGAGATATCCTTAGGGATACCTTTAGGGACACTTTATCCTGGAGGGTTTTGTATCAAGTTGCCTTGAACAGTGCTAGAAGCACCACATATGGCTGTGCCTTTTGTAGTTGTGACCAAGTAAAACTTCATGATCTGTAATGTACAGGAATTTTGGCACTGTCTAGTGATCCCTACTGACCTCCAGCTTCATAATGACAGGCCACACACAATCCCTCCATGTAAAGCTCCATCCTCCTTTCTTGAGCAATTAGTTAAAACCAGTGTTGGCAAGTTCTTTGTTGTGCTCTGGTTGACTGGGCTCAGGCTTCACATGGGGACTTGCCCAGACTGAGTCACAGATATGCTTTCCTGTCCTTTTCTGACTCCCTTTTGTGGGACTTTGTGAGTGGGTTTAGCCCTTTGCTGGCAAATGCCAACAGTGTAGGCATTTTCACACACACACACTCACTCCCTAGGCAAGAACAAGCACCAAAGAGGTAAGGCCAGTAGTATGTCCTGTGAAACTGCTTGAATATGTGCAAAAGGAGGTTGTTTGAGCAGGAATAATGCTGCTCTTAATCTGTTTTCATTTCCTTCTGTGAGTTTCTGTGTTGCAACAAGCATCTTGTGAAATGTCCTGGCAGAAAAATTATGAAAATTCCCCCATCTCCATGTGCTGGGTACATGTACCCAGGATACAACTTTTTCTACACACCGGAGCAGTGACTCTGAAGGCTCCTCACCAGTGTGGGAGCTGCCCTGGTGCAGTCTTCCATGCAGGGAGAAACTGTATTCCTGGCCATATTGGTCACGTGGACTCTTGGTGGAGAAGAGTGATACTGTGGTGGAGATAATGAATCGCCGAGGGAGAATCAGTCCAGGAACTAGAGGTAACCACAAAGCCTTCCTTTCTGTCCTCCTGTAGAAGAAAGAGGAGATGGGGGAAAATACAGGGCTGGGATAGATAATGGGCATGTAGAGTGACTGGCCCCATACCAGGAGAAGGGCCGTAGGACAAGAGAAAAGCAACAGATGAGGGAACTGGGGAATGCCCGGACTGGGAGAATGATCTTTTTTCCAGAGCCAGAAGGAATGAAAGTCCAGCCAGACTATGGTCTTCTATCCCCTTCTGTGTTTTTTTCTGTAGATGATGGGAGTGAAGAGTGCTGTCCTACAATCATTATCCAGGTAAAACTATCTGCACCAAGCTCAGCACAAGTCACTGCTCCTATCTCTGGCATTTCTAAAGAGAACCAAGTGAGGGCTCTCCCAAGAGCTTCAAGGTGCCCATTCTCCCCGAGGAAACAATCTCTTCTGTGTGTCTGCCACTGCAAACACTGAGCTGGACAGTCACTCCTCTGAATGACTATATGCTATTGCATAAAAGGACTTGGGGGATAGAGCCAAAATCAAGGTAGCTGAGAGAAATAAGCTCTGAAGAGAGATGAAGAGGAGGGAGGTACAGAAAGAGCATTCAGTGAAAGACAGGGGGGATGGAGGGGCAACAGGGATGATGTGTTGGGGAGAAAGGAGGTGTGACAGGACAATGAAAGGAGGAGTGCAGTTTGGGAAGAGTACAGGCAGGGCTTGTGGTGAAAAGTGAAATAAAAGTGGGGCTTCAGGGCAGCTCCCATGTTGCCTGTGGGTCTGACACACTGCTAATGATGGGCAGCAGGACCTGGTAACAGCAGAACCTGGTAACATCAGGACCCGATTAAAGCACCTGTGAGTCCCCCAGTCCTTGGAACAAGGGTACCAGCAAGTTCATGGGGTATGGAGCCACTTGGGTTATCCAGCCCCTGACACCAGGCAGGAGGGTTCTCACTCTTGCCTTGTGTTTTTCAGCCCCAGCAGAAGAGCGAAGTTGCTCCTGGCTGAACCCTTGGGTCTTCCTTGTTTCTGCCCTTGTCATCAAAATGGCCTTTGTAACCGTCTGTCTTGGTGGGTTCCAGGGTCTCTGAATTCCCCTGGGTTGAAGGGAGAAGTTGACTGCCTTCTGTCAGATGCAAAAACAATGTCCTAGTCTCTCTGTCCCTCTCTCACCTCTGCCCTCTTACTCAGGGAGCAGGGTCCCTTACACAGTTAAGATTTGTTCCCTGGCAGGGTCTTCCCACTTCCTTGCTTTCCCACCTGCCTGAATAAAGCCAGTTCTGGATGACACCAACCAGTTTCTCCCCTCCCACCAACAGCTGAGAATTCCCTTCTCAGAGGGCACCTGAGTAGGTTTCCTGAAGGGTGGTTCTGCTGACCTAGTCTCTCTCTCAGAGCTCCCTGTGACAAGGAGTCAGTGTGATCTCCTTGGAAATCCTGGTACCAAGCTGCCCATATTTTATCAGGGTGGGGATGAATCCTTCAAAATGCTTCAGCCGCATCCTACCCACAATACCTGGATCAACCAAAAGGGAAATCCTTTGCTTGCACTGTCCTGGAGCATCGTATTGCTCTGTGATGACTCTTCTGTGCTTCTATTTATCTTCCTTGGGTAATGCCTCAACACTCAACAGGTCTACCCCTTCCTGCTAAGGGTAAAAGTGGTGCTCTAAAGCTACGATGCCTGGGAAGATTAAAAGGGGATATATATTAATATTCCACCTTTATTAAGCTTATTCCATGACTTCTTTGACCCTTTCCTGACTCCATCCTCAAAGAATGTCTGAGCTGATTTTGTCAGCTGGGAAAATGAGGCTCTCAGCCAACAGAGGTGAGAGGAGCTCATCCTGTTGAATGGAGGGAGTGACTAGTAGTGGGAGAAACATCCTCCTGTTTCTCATCTTCTTGTTCGATACAGATTTCAGAGCTTGTTAACGTAACAGTCTCTGTGGGGGTTCTAAGCCAGAAGGAAGAGGGTGGGACACGTTACTCAAGAATGAGGAGGAAAGGATGACGGTAACACTTTTCTTCTCTTCCTTCTCTTCCCAGTTGTTTTCCTTCATGGAAGCTATGGCCAGTACAAGATTCTGTTCCAGAACACTACAGAGTGGCGCTGCATCCTCAACATGTCTGCAGGAGAAAGTGAGTGATGCTAAGAACCTCATGCAACACCAAGAACCTCACCAAAATTTACTCTGGTGTCAACCAGCCTTTGAGATTGGGGATGTGATTGTCAGCCAGAGCTGACAGATTCTTTTAAGGAAGGAAGATGGAAATTGAGGAAAGAAAATACTGTATTGCACAATTTTACTTAGCATACTATGAAAACATGTTCTGGGCTAGTGGAAGAGGGTGGGTTGTTCCTGACCTACCTTTGACCACTTTTCCTACTCTTCCCCTGACTGGCCCAGTTTGCTAATCTAGCTGAAAATATTTCATCCTTTTGTAAAGGCTGGTTCAATCCAGCTCCACTCCCCATGCTGGCTCAGTGTTCAAACAGGTATCATGGTCAGTGTGAGGGTCAAAGGTAGGAGTGGAAGGAGGATGTTGTTATGCAGCTTAGAGAAGCTGGAGAGCTGGGCTGCAACCACACACGAATTGATGGCAATGGCAAGTGATAAAAAGGTGTTTGCAAGTATAAAATAGGCATGGTCCACCTATTCTTATGGTGGACAACTATAGAAGGCCAGGCAAGCTGTGTTCTACACATGCTCAATTTGCTGTTCCCTGTAAAAAAAAACCAACTGCCTAGCTCCATGAGGCACGAGCATGTCCGTCTAACAGCAGACAGACTCTCCCAGCCAACACACTTAAGATCCAGAAGAAATTGTCCAGCATTTCTTAGTCACTTGGGAAAACTTTAGTTTTTGTTGTGGAATTAGGAATGGAAGGAAAAGCTTTGCATGATGACTGCAGGCCATCCTTCAGCAGTTCAGTGAAAGATCAAGGTGGACAGCACAGAGAGACAGAGACTTCCAAGTTCCTTAGGCTTCAAAACTTGACTTTGCACATTTTCTGATGTTATCTAGTGCCACAATCTCTTTCTCCAAAGGTACATAATGGTGCACCTTGAGTGGATCTAATATATAAGAGCACAGGTAGGTTAACACAAGTTTTGCTAACTGTTCCATTCACTGGACTCTACTCCCTCAATTTGTTGTCAAGAATGGGATTCTGTGCTGTGAAGACAGCTCTTGAAGGACACAGGGTTACCTGGGTCCACCTTTTAGTATGACTATGATGTGCTTGCTTGCTGTGGGTGCGGACCAGAGCATTGGCTTGACTGCGGCATTGTCACTGCATGTGGCCCCCTGAAGAGCTCTTGACTGGGAAACACAAGAAGGAAGTCCTTGTGAGGTCTGAGATTTAGAACAAGCCTCTAAGGTAGCACATACAAGGATGTATTTGTTTGTTGACTTGATTGGATCAGCTTTTCAGGCTGATATAGTCTATACAGAGATATATTCAGAGTATAATATACACAGCTCATAGATAGAGATATAATAGCCTCCAAGCATGTAGCCTCATGCTTTGAGAGAATATATCTGTGTTTTTTTCACAGAATCACAGAATTGTAGTGGTTGGAAAAGACCTTTAAGATCATCGACTCCAACCTCAAACCCAACACTACCAATTCCACCTCTAACCTACATCCCTGAGCACCCTGTCTGCCCATCTGTTAAATCCCACCAGGGAAGGTGACTCCACCACCTCCCTGGGGCACCTGTTCCAGTGACTCACTACCCTTTCAGTGAAGGAGTTTCTCCTCAGATCCAATCTAAACCTCCCCTGGTGCAATTTGAGGCCATTTCCTCTTGTTCTATTGCTTGTTACCTGGTAGAAGAGACCCAACCCCACCTCTCTACCCCCTCCTTTCAGGGAGTTGCAGAGAGCCAGAAGGTCTCCCCTCAGCCTCCTTTTCTCCAGGCTCAACAACCCCAGTTCTCTCAGCCGCTCCTTGTAGGACTTGTTCTCCAGACCCTTCACCAGCTACATAGCCCTTCTCCGGACATGCTCCAGCCCCTCAACATCCATTTAAGCCATCGTATGACTTTCTGGCTATAAGGTGGATCTCTAGGAGAACCTGGCTAGTGTAAGGAACTGCCTGTGGTGGCAGCAAGGCTGTCAGAGGGGTTTACTGTATGCCTGCCTGCATGACTTCAGAGCTAAACACTTGGACAGCACTCCTCTGATGGAAGTGTTCCCAGATGAGTGTGGGCAACTACTTCCCATCTTGCTTTCTCAGGAAGCGTAAGACAGAACCTGTGTCTCTCACCAAGTAGAGGTTGCATGGACATGGCAAAACAGATAGAGAAAGGGAAAGGCACTCCGCATAGGGGTCTTGTGACAGGAGCCTGCCAGGCTGTTGACAGCTTGACTTGTGGAGCATGGAAGAGAGCATTTACTTCTGTCCAGATTAAAGGCATAGTTCAAACCCCTCCCCAAACACCTAGGACCCTACGCTGAGCTCACTGAGAGGAAGGACAGCACATCTTGTTCAAAAGTAGGATTTTTTATCCCCCACAGAGAGAGGCTGGACGTGCTGCCCAAAGGGCTGGAAACGCTTTCAAGAAAGCTGCTATTACCTGTCAGATGACATGATGTCCTGGGCTGAGAGTGAGCAGAACTGCACTGGGATGGGGTCCCACCTGGTGGTGATCGACAGCAGAGCTGAGCAGGTAGGTGCAGGGCTGAGAGAGGGGCACAGCAGCCAGAGACACAGTGCTGGGCCCTGGAGGGGTCACCAGTGCCCCTCTGCCACCTCCCCACCCCACAGGGACTCCTGCCACCTCCCTCTGCTCAGTCCTTCATCTCATGGACCTTGTGCTTTTTCCAGGAGTTCCTCTTCAACTTGGCAAAAGGAGTATTTTCTAATGCCTATGAAACAAAATACTACATTGGCTTAACTTCTCACAAAAATGGGCAGTGGCAGTGGGTGGATCAGACTCCATATGAGAAGGCGGCCACGTGAGTATCCCAGGGGACTGAGGATCCTCTCAGTCCAAGTGAGCAATACACTGTAAGGCAGGTATGTGTCTGAGAGAGGGTTTTGTCCCTAACTGCCCAATAAGTCAGAAAATTTGATTAGTGTTCTAGTCATATGCATAAGCAGTCTTTGTCTTGCCAGAGCTCCTGATCTGTGTCACAGTAACCTTCCCCTTTGTCTTCCATAGCTATTTGAGGTGACCTCAGGTGCCAGTGCATTCCTAATAGAAGAACTTACTTTTATAGGTTCTGGAAACCAGGGGAACCCAATTTACTCTTTGCAGAAAAATGTGCTGCAATTCATGTCAAGGGAAACAGAGACCCCAACACTTATAGTAACTGGAATAACGTCCTTTGCTTCACAAGTTGCTATCGAATTTGTGAACTGGCAGTGAAATTTGTGTGAGGAAGGAAACTGCACTTTGGATGAAGGACCTGAAGGAGTATCCTTGAGAAAGCGCAGCTTGTGGAAGAGCTGATGAAAAGCTGGTCCGAACACAAATGCTTTATCTTGCAATGTCAGATGAGCAAACCTGGCACAGAATCACAGGTCTGAAGGTTCCCAGCCTGTGCCTCTGCATCTCTTTCATCAGTCCTGGATCAAACCGCTCAGGCTGATATCAAGGACCTACTGTGCCCCTTTTCACTCTCCTCTTTCATAGACGGGTGCCCTGATCTCCAGTACTTTTCTTGACTCCTTGTCCAGTCGATATCTCAATGGTGTGGAAAAGGCCCTCTCTCTGTTTCATGAAAGAATACTGGTCCTACAAATCACTGGAGCAGAATTTGGAAGAAGAGCAGTCAGTGGAGTGTGCTTGGTCCACCCCTGAAGGGAAAAATTATTCATGGCTTATCTTTAATATTTTCTTCTTCCTTCAGCATATTCTGTGTTGTTAAGTTAAAAAACCTTGTATCAATAAATACAAATTCTGTACTTTGCATGAGGCTGTCTTCTGAGTGACAATTCCCAGCCCTGCCCCCCACCCCAACCCAGCCTCCCTGCATGGAGGTTTTAACTTTTCAGTGTGTTTGACACCCATGGTGAGAATAGTGCTGGACTGGCCAGGAGCAGGAGCAGCCCACTGCTCATCTGCAGAGCACGTGAGAAAGGCTGTGAACACTTTTGGAGAATCACGTGCGAGGGGAGCAACAGAGCAGGCTGTGTTACTAGTCAAGGTCAACAACTGTTTGCCCAGGATGTAGCAGAAAGGAGATGGATTTTGGAGATCCTGCTGAGATGTGTGGCAGGATTAAGCGTGGCAATGAAGCAGAGAGAAAGCACTCAAATATCATGTGAAGGATAAAAACCAGGGTCTCCCCAGGAGGGATTTCTAATGTGAGAAAAGTTGTAGAAGACCCCTATCAGAGGCATCACTGGAAATCAGAGGCACAGAAGTCTTGAGCAAACACTCTGCTTCCCCCAAATTTCCCAAACCTCTGTCCATAAATTCCTCCCCTTTCATCAATGATGAAAGAATCCTAGAATGTTGTGAATTGGAAGGGTCCCACTAACATCATCCAGTCCAACTCCTGTCCCTGCACAGGACAAGCCCAACATTCACACCATGTCCCTGAGGGCACATGGTGGCCAAATGCTTCTGGAATCTTGTCAGGCTTGGTGCCATGAGCACCTCCCTGGGGAGCCTGTTCCAGTGCTCCACCACCCTCTGCCTCAAGAACCTTTTCCTCATGGCCAACCTCACCCTCCCCTGCCACATCCTCCTGCCATTTCCCCTGGTAGTTTCCAGTTTGGGACTAAAAATACACCCTGAAAAATCAGTTCTAGATGATTTTTTTTTTTAAATTCATCAAAAATCTCAGCAGAAATTTGTGTCCTTTCTACATGAAACAATGTCTTTGCCAGGTTTCTGTTTTGACCATTGGACCAAAAGCTTGGCTGTTGCAAGGTCTTAGCCTCCTATTTTCTAAAGTTGCTGGGATCTTTTCACAATGTTCAACATGACAGCAGATAAAAACTTTGCAAGGGACTTCTCTTTTCAATTTCCCCCAACGCAGTTCTGGAAACCACAGCAGTAGGGTTTTGGGGAAGAAAAAGGGGTAGATAAGACACACAGAGGGTGACCCATGTTTTGCAGGAGGTTTTAGAGGCAGCTGCAGTTCTGGCTTCTGGGAGGTGGTGTGGGGCAGAGCAAAACTCACACCAAGAGACTGGTTTGCAAGAAACCATAACTTATTAGAAACAGTTTCCATGCCCCAAATTTGGAAAGTGAAATTGTTCTTGAGATGTCTCAATGAAAGAGGGATCTTGGGAGATGATACTGGGTTTGCCTGCAGAATATATGATGGGAAGTTGAGTGGCTTCCAGCCTCAAATCATTTTCAGTTGCACACCTGAACTTGTTGTAGCTTGTCTATTTATTAATCTGCAACAGGAATATTTTCATAATGCTTATGAAGCCTCAAAGGATAGCTTGACCCCAAACTGCATCTCACAGGCAAAAAATCCCTTGAAGAAACTCTTCAGATCTCCAGCTGTGCTGGTTTTGTCAGGGATAGAGTTAATTTTCTTCACAGTAGTTTGCATTGTACTGTGTTTTGGATTTGTGATGAAAACAGTGTTGATAACTCCTATGAAGACAGGCTGAAGACTTCTCCTATAAAAACAGCCTGAGAGAATTGGGGCTGTTCAGCCTGGAGAAGAGAAGGCTCCAGGGAGACCTTCTAGCGGCCTCCCAGTGCCTGAAGGGGGCCTACAAGAAAGCTGGGGAGAGAATTTTTATAAGGGCAGTTAAAGATAGAACAAGGGCAAATGGCTCTAAACTGGAAGAGGGCAGGTTTAGATGAGATATTAGGAAGAAACTCATTAGATATTAGGAAGAACTCCAGGTTCTCTCCACTTTCTTCTTTCAAGACAGTCCTTCTCCTCATAAATATG